CAAAGGGTCTAAGTGTCAAAAATAAAATTGTGTGAAATCAATGAAAATTCATTCATCTTTAAAATACAAAAATAATATGGAAAATATTTTTTTAGTCGTTTTGCATGGCACATAGGCTATTTTTAAATGATAATATAATATTTGACCAAATTGGGTCCAAACCCTTTGGGAATGCCATGCTTCAATTATAATTATTAATGTAATTATTTACCATTTCTTTTTAAATAAAAAGGCAGCTTTTTTTTGCTTATGGCTTTAGATAATATTTTCCTAAAAAAGGGTCCTACTAAATTTTACCATAAATTTTGTTTTGCTGAAAAAGTTTGAAAATCTTGAAAATTTCTATAAATTCAACTTTTACCTTGAATACCTTTTAAAAGAGCCCTACCAAAATTTGTTTTAGTTTTACTAATCCGTTTACGAGTTATACAATTTTAAAGTATTTTAAAAAATCTCATATTATTTTAATGGGAAATAAAAATTCCCGATGAGGGACCTGTAAATGTAATATTAAGAGCTTGCATTTTAACAGGACCATTTTTTGGTATTTATACTTATAAGTCTAATAATTATATAATATTTTTTATCAAATATTTAATAATTTGTCCTACGTTTAAAATATTAATATGAAATTAAATTAAAATACTTTTTAACATTTTAGTCCGGAAGAACTTCGGCTATAAAATTTTCTGTTTATACATCTATAGGTATTGTAATCTTTTCTTATTAAGCCGGATGAGGATTAGCCCTTTCGGCAAGTATTAACTTATACCTCTAATTATGCCTAAATACGCGACGTGTGCGCCGATGATAATTTTAACGGCGCCGGAGTATATTATTATAACTTTAAAGAATAAATATTTTATAATTTTTTACACATTAACCTACATATAATAAAAGAGCAATAAATAAATATGAATAAATATATAATATATATTTTATAGTTTTATAATATTTATATATTTATATAATATATATTTTATAATTTTATAGCTATTTATGTTTATATGTTTTATAGTTTTTATATGTAAGTTATAGTTTTATAGGTATGTTAACTTTTATATTATAATTATATTAAACATTTTTTGATAAATCCTAGTATATTTAATTTAAAAATATACCAAATATAAAAATTTTAATTATTATTGACTGCTTTTTCACTTGTACCGTGGTTAACTATGGAATACCATGGTATCCCAAAATTTAACAGCCAATTCTTATGTAAAATTGTCAATAATAATAAATACATCAATAATTATGAAAGTGAAGCAGTTTATGAGATATAGTCAATTCCATATTAAATAGAAAATTGACTATATCTCAAAAACTGTTCTACTTTTATAACTTTTGACGGTATTTTCGGATTCAGGGGATAATTTTACATAAGAATTGGCTATTTAGTTTTGGGATACCATGGTATTCCATGGTTAACCATGGTACAAGTGAAAAAGCAGCCACTATTAACTATTAAATTTAGTAATTTTTGACTATAGTCAATTTCATTTTTAGAGAGTATGTTTTTAATTTTAACACATAAAAGTGCAACAAATAATAAAATTTGTTTTTACTCCTAAAATAGTGTATTGAATCATTGCTAGTTCTGAAAAATGTAAAGTAAGTTTTAAAAAACTACAACTTGATAATATAATTTATAGCCTAAAAAGTTCTTATTAAAAGTTTTTTCCTAGAATAAATGTTTATAAAACTATACAAAAATATATCAAAAAATTAACGATTTAATAAAAATACAGTTAAATATGTAACATAGGTACCCAAAATAATTAATTCAATACGAGCAGGTAGTAAATTCTAAATATAAACATATTTTTAAATAAATCCCTAAGAGGCAGATGTTGACCATTTCCGAATGCCTCCGAACAATTACAATGGAGCATTCAAATGGACATTACTTCTTTCCGTAACTGTACACCGGATGGAAAAAAATCCTTATTTAGCAAATTTTTATATTTTTTCAAGGGGGGGGTCAATGGGGCGGGGTCGGTTGGGTTGGGTTGTTGAGTTTGGGTTGGTTTGAGTAATTCATACTGACATTTCATTAATTTTGTTGTTAATTGTATTTCAATCACTTAATTAAATTTTAATCAATGTTTATACAACTTGAAAGTTAGCTAAATAATTACATAATTATTATCAAGAGTTAACAAGCTGTTTTCCAACTGTTATACAACTGGGCCTTAGTGTACCAATTTAATCTCAACTTATAAATCTAAAAATTTACCATCAGCTGGTATGGAAACACGCATGCGCACAAACCTGATGTACGTTTAATGCCAGTACTCCCGGTGTACTTCTAGTCACGGCTAAAATAAATACCTTTCTAAAAATGTTTTATTTTACCATATTTTGTTGTGCCATTATATAAATAACAAGTGCTGGTAAATTTAATTTTTAGTTGTAGTATTTCTTTTCTAAAAACAAAATTCAGTTTTTCAATTTTACATTTCTATCGTAAATTAGTGTTGCGCATACTGACTAGTCAATGTGAGAAGTAAAAACCTTTAATCCCCAGATTGACTATCGCAACAGACATTTTGGAAATTGCCTAAAATAGCGTAGTAAATTTGCAGATTGCCCAATATGGTAGTGATTTTGCACAGTGTCTGGTAAATTCGTCAGTTTGCAGAGTATCTAGACATTTTGCACATTGTCCGATTTTTTACATTGCCGGTAACATATACACGTTGTGATTACGTTACCATAACGAAGAGGTATAGTGGCTAAAACTTAAGCAAAACTTTACTACTCTTTACTTTCTATCCTCGACTATTTCCAGAATATTATTTATCTTATTAACTTTGCTTTTTCTGAAACTGGACATTAAACTGACACTGAATACTTAAATTATTATAATGATAGCATACCCTAGTAGCAATTCCGGAAAAGTCTTGGCCCAGCATGGGTCAAGATACTTTGGACAGATTATTGCTCAAGAATTGTACAAGAATTGTTCCAGATTCTTGGCCAAGATTATTGGGCAAGACTTGAGCCAGACTGTGGCCAGAATTTGACAAGAATTTGACCAGAAATCTGAGGCCATCTATTGCTAAACTTTGGGACTATCATATAGAGTAGAGGTTCTCATTCTACAGTAGTATCATTCACAATGATAATGTATACTAGTCGAGAAGTGAGTTCTCTGTAGGAAATGAGTATAGTTTTTTTGTTTATGTGAAAATACGAATAAGAGCTTATTGGATTCCGAATCATTCGTCTTCTAGCTGAGAAAAAAATTGATTTTTTGAAAAATAAAAATTGTTATTTCTAAAAATCAAAAATTAAAAAAAAAAAGTGTGTGTCAGCTCTGACGCATAACTAGAGTTTACTCTTTATGAACATGAAAGATTATAAAATACATGTTTATTTTTACGGGCACCTGTTTTTTTTTTAACATAGAAAATTAAAAACTTTAACTCTTTCAAAATTTGTTTCGTTTTTAATTCTATTGTTTACCAGATTTATGGATAAAAACCGAATTTACTGGAAAGAAATCGTGGAAAATTAATGTTTTTAGTAACATTCTTAACTTTTGAAGTTCAACAAAATTTTGTATTGACCAAAAATCTTGAAATGAAAGTTCCTATTTAACGTGTAATCGTGTAAAAATTCTTGGCCAAGAATCTGGTCAAATTCTGGTCACAGACTTGTCCAAGTCTGCCACCAGTCTGGATAAAGAATTTTGATCAAGAGTCTTGGTCAAGAATTGTCCAATTCTTTACAAAGTGCTTCTCCAAGTATCTTGACAAAGAATCTTGTCCAATTCCATTGCTACTAGGGTACAACTTGCAAATAATAAATAGAAATATAATAATCCGAAGACATAAAATAAACACAAATAAAATTTTACTGTTAAACATGGGTGTCATAGCTCTAAATATAAGCACGCCCCGTTGAAATATGTGGTAATAAAAAAGAATATAAAAATTTTTAAACTTAGCGGATCTAAAAATTATTTATCTAGAAGCCTTAAATAATTTCTTTATTATTTCTGATCACCCGAAACCAATAATTATCATTATTATGTAGATATAAAAACAAATATGTTTTGAAAGTTTCACGTGTTTTATTTACTTATGACAATTGTTTCGTCACACAGTGACTTCTTCAGAATGTGACGAAACAATTGTCATAAATAAATAAAACACGTGAAACTTTCAAAACATATTTGTTTTTATATCTACATAATAATAATAATAATATGGAGTTTCATCAAGTAAAGGTCGAAACAATCAAATATTAACCAATAATTATCTATTAACTTGTTAAATTTGGTGCGGTAATAACCAGAATTATTTGTTTAAAACAATTTATTTTCCTACAATGGCGATTATTTTTAAACATGTCTGCTTTTAAAGAAGGTAACTTTAAAGTGGTAATCCTATGCAAAACGTGAAAATCACTTAAGCATGTAGCAAGAACTTGGCAATGACCACCGCAATTATATATTCAAATTCTGCCACATTCAAGGTTTGAGAAAAGTTCCGAAAACGTTGCCAAAACTGGTATACCCGCTTTACGAATAATACCACTTCCAAGTAATACTTGAGTGATATGTTTTGGTTGCCGTTACTATTCATAATCCACTATAAAGTTTAGACAACTTTATGGTGGTTTTAAAAGTGGTAATAACATTTCATATACTATAAAGATGTTTATACTATATATATATATATATATGCTGAAGTATTTGAAAAACATTTTTATTCCTATAATCCAAAATCTGAAAGGTTTTAAAACAAATTTCTAAACATAAAAATTGTTATCTTTTTAAATATTATGCTGCATATTTAAACGCATACTCTTCACGACCTTCAAGATAAGGTCAATACGTTTTTTTGATTTTTTATTACTTTTTAAAACAAACTAAATCAAACTAAAATCCTACCTTAATGAGCTGAAAATAAATTATGTGCACAAGTATAGCCATTCTTTTTAGAACCTCTAAAAACAATGGTTATTAAAGGAAAATAATTAAAAAACAATATTTTTTTAATTATTGGATATATTATGTTGAAATAATTTACATTTAAAATTATAGAATAGTTTCCTAAAATACTATGATCACATTTACAAATTTTACATAATATGCAGTAAATATAATGAATTTAACAAAAAGACAAAACTAGTAACAGTCATTTAAATAACAGTTATTAAAACTATCAAATGTATAAAATTGATAAAACAATAATGCATTGGTGTAATTGTATTTTGTTTTATACAATAAGTTATTATATGCAGGGTTGCATTGTTTATGCGATAATTATTTTTATTACTTATTTCGGTAAAATAAAATTTCCAAACTAAAAAAATAATAATAAGCAATAAACTTGCCGTTATTGGTTATTGTTTACATTTAAAGTTTACCACAAAATTTATGTAAATTATTTAGTTTATAACACGTTTTTTGAGTAAGAATATTGTAGTATTGATTAAGTTAAGCCACTGCAAGTATACACAATAAATGCAGATTTAAATACTTTTTGTTTAAACAACAACAACGACTATTAAGTAACTAAAAATCAAATCATTTTTCTTCAATTAAATTTGCAATGACTTTGGTTTATATTTATCTATCTATATGAAGTGCTTTAAAAGTCCAAAACATTTATTTATTATTGTGGTTGTGGTGGTTCAAGAGGGTTTCCCGGTCGGGAAGTTGCCTTACCTTCATGCTACCGTCTGAACCGCAAGAGAAAAGCCTACCGTGCGCATCTATGTGCAGCTGGGTCACACCTGAACCGATATTTTTGAAGAAACTGCTCTTTGCGTGCTCGGCGGGCAGAGCCAAAAGTACGCTGGGAACACTTACACCCCAAATCTGAAAGCCAATTATAGTTTTTTAAAATGCAGATAATGCTAGAATAAAATTAAAAACTTCAGGAGCGGATTTGATGGCAAGAATCCTCTAACCTCACTCTAATTGTGAAACTTTATTTTAAGCAAAATTATACATGTTTTTTTAAATACTTATTAACACCATTTAGGGCCTGTTTATCAATCTCTGGTTAAGTTTCAGTTAGTTATCGGACAGTTAAATTCTTTATAGATCGTTGTGAGAACAATGGTATCCATAAAAATTATCTGCCAGATAACTAACTGCAACTTTAAGTGGACATTGATAAACCGGCCCTTAGAAGAAAATGAAGTTGATTACACTGTAGGTAAATTTTCAACTCTTGGAATATCACAGCTAAACGCTCGGACACGTAAATATAATTTTTGGTCGTAGATTCCAAATCCGTGCTCGGTTTAGCTGTATCAGGTCTAAAAAAGTTTTCCTGTCGGAAATCCGAGCATATTATAATTTGTAAATTAATATATTTCACCTCTTGTACCAACATTCTTATACTTTTTATTTCAATTAATATATATCCTTAACTATACTCAATAAAAAAAAAATTACCAAAAAATTTCCTAAATTATCTATAAAAAAACTCTCAGGGACACGTGTTCCTTTTGATCAATTAACTTTTTAAATTTGGAACTATGTGTGGGTCCAGCCAAATTGATTTTTTTTAAATTTATACAGGGTGTTTCCAATATCTTTGAATTTTAACCTGATACAGCTAAACAAAGCATGGATTTGTAATCTCCGACCAAAAAATAAGTTTACGTGTCCGAGCGTTTAGCTGTGATATTTTCACCTCCCTACAGTGTTATTAAAAATAAAATATCAGGGCAAAATGAGACACCATATTTTACATAATATGCATTATACTGAACAGGCATTTAAATAACAATTAAAAACTATAAAAAGTACAAAATTGATAAAAATAATAATAGTGTAATAGTAGATTGTCATTAAAAGGAGAAGTAAGTCTTTTTGTGCTTAAAAGATTGCAAACCAATTGAGCAAAACAAAAAGACCTTCTCCTTCAAATAACATTTACTATTTTATCTTCTAACAAAAACTAAATACTTAACAGTCTGTCAATGATAGTTTTTCAATGACAGACGCTTTCTGCGAAGGCATAGGCGGATATAAATATGAATGAAATAGGGTAAATTTTATTTTATTTTATGTATTTCATTAATAATGAATATTTTTTAAGGGGTGGGTTGAGAATAATAATTTTTATATTATACAATCACCGGCAAAAAAAACGGCCACCAGAAATAGTCCAGAATTTTAGTGTTAGTTTCCACGGGAAGCGCTCATCTGATTTTCATGACTTTTTTTGAATTGTTGTTTGACCCTATAGTTACGATGCTATGGTATTAGTATATTATTATACGAGAGAAAATGCAGGCTTCACGAGGATAAGGTTTGCGTCTTAAGTCGCCAGACGGGAGACTTAAAACATCCGAGTAAATAATGCGCATAATCTCTAGTGTAATACTATGCTTTATTTAACGTTCATAATGTAAACCGCTTTCGATGCTGTAATGAGGTACACCCAAAATTTTGATTTTATAGGTTGACTACTTTAAACAGTATACTAGTAAAATAGTATTTTGCAAATTGGTTATAATGTTTTTATGATTTTTCTAGTACTTACGAGACTTTTCTGGCAATAAATTTTGTTTAACACTAAAGAAAATCATTTTTTCTTCTTTAACATTAACAGCCGCTTATTGTAAATAAGTAAATTAAGGACGCCATGGCGAATCGATTTTGACATTAACCCTTCAAACCAATGACTGTGATACTATCGACCAAATTAAATATAAGGTTTTATACCATTTTAAATTTTTATTATTTCTTAAACTAAATGTAAAAAAAATAGAAATGGTATAAAATCTGTTATACTCGAATTTTTTTAATAAAATTTGAAATTTATCGATAAACTTCAGTGAATTAAATATTGTACCACTTTCATTTGAATTATCTTAATTTGGGGGAGCAGGTGGCTGGGGGGCACACTTAAAAACTAACTTTTTTTCGCAAACTTCAATTTAAATTCTGCTTGCGCAGAACTTGTCTATATAATGTCAATGTAAACTCATATAAATTTGATGTGGGTCCCATGTCTAATAACTGAGATATGGGTGTGCCCAAAATCCACCAGCCGCCACTGGGTATAAAATTAATTTTTTTATAGAATTTTTGCAAAATAGATAAAATAGCATAAAGAACTCATGTCATAGGACCTTTTGTCGCACTCTTCCTTTACAAAACTCGCTCCTTCGTCGCTCGTTTTATAAATTGTCCTTGTGGGACAAAATGATGTCCCATGACATTTGTTCTTTATCATTATTCACGAAAATATGTGACATTCGTTTCAGCATATATCAACTTAACACTTATTTATTTTTACATGTGAAGACTTTATCCGGTGCGTTTGTTTTAAAACAGTGTAATAAAGAAGATATTATCCGGTGCGTTTGTTTTAAAACAGTGTAATAAAGAAGATATTCAGAAAAGATAGGGCTATAGTAAAATTTCAATTGGCATTCGCTAATGTTGCTGATACACTCCACAGGGTGTCACAAATTTCAGGGGGAACAATTCGTCTTAATTTTGCATCCTGTATATGCTCAAATTAAAATCTAAATAAAAATTTATATTACAGCATCGTTACTGGAAAGTCAACCAACAGTTAAAAAAAAAATCATTAAAATCAGATAAGCGTTTGAGAGGAAATCATACGAACACTTTATCCGAGGAGTTGGCTTAAAAACCGTTTATTTTCGTTAATAAAAGAGATAATAACATAAAGAAAAAGACACATTAAAACTAATAATCATATATATTAAGAGAAGTCATTGCAGTCATTTGGGTAAAACCTTTTTTTTTTTAAATATAATGCATGTGACTGAAAAACGCACAAAATATAAAAACGAAAATATAGTGATAAAAAATATATATAAGTAAACTTACCTTAATGTCTCCATCTGCCGATCCTGTGGCGAAGTAGTCTTCATGAGGATCGATCGCGATACACTTGACCGCAGTTTCGTGCGCCTGGAACTTGTGACGTATCGCTTTCTGTCTCACGTCAATCAGACACACATCACCCTTTTTGCCGGCCGAGATGAGTACCTGGTGCTGAGGTGCAAACACCAGACTGCTGGCCCCTTGGTCGTGACAAGTGAACGCCACCACCAACGCTTTACCCTGTGGCATTATCGAGTCCCAGATGCACACGTTTTTGCTTTCGGAACTGTGGCCGGCTGCAAAGTAGCACATTTGTAAATTAATGTAGTTTCTGTGCAAAACGCGATATTAAATTATTACAATTTTGTAAATTATTATATTATATGAAGGGGTAAGAAGCAAAAAGTGCAAAAAAGAGAAGTGGAGTTACAAACAAAAATTTGGATACTTGTTTTAAATTTTAAGTTATAAAAAAAATTGGACTCTAAACTACCCTATTTCTGCTAAAATGCACTCATACCCTTTTGCTTCTTACCCCTTCAGATATTATTAATATTTTATATTATTCATTATTCATGGTGTCCAGAAATAACGTTAATATATTTCGTAAAAATAAAAGAAAAAGTTGCCCGAAAATGCCTCCTGCGCTATAGGCATTTTAAACTGTTTTGCAAAATCAGGTTTTTATTAATTATTTCAAAAACATTTGGTGCGAAAATTAAGACGCTTTATTTCTTAAGAAATCATCTGTTGGTATTAAATCGCATAAACGACCATAGGCGTGCGAAATAGGGGCTTCTCGGGGAAAAAATCTTAACTTTTTTGTGGTGTTTTGTTAAATTTTTGATCTTTGAATACAACTCTACAGATAATTTTACGTAAAAAAGCTGCTCTTGTTACAAAGTCATGGAGCCAACCGTTTTCGAGAAAAAAAAAGGTATTAAAAATGTCTCGCCAGAAAAATTCATAAATTCTTGTTATTAAACACAGTTAATGAACTACAATAACGCTAAATTCTCAAAATGACCGCTGTCACATTTCCTAACGCGTTTTTCATAGATCTAAAAATCCAGGTTTATTTCTTATGAATTCACAAGCATTTAAGGCTGCTGCACAATAGCCCGGTAACGGGAACGGGAAATCAAACAGGAAAAAAGTTAAAAAGGCCAAATTAATTGTATGCATGCACAATAAACGTAAACGGCAACGGCAACGGGATGTGCGATACGATCCGATATTACAAAGTATCGGTACATTGAGTATCGATAATCAATATTCTGTACCGGTATTTAGGTAACCAATACAATTCGATACCATCAATTTTTACCAAGTATCATATCGTTTTGGTTTTGTTTGCTGGAGCTGTTACAGATAAATAAAAAATACAGAAAATTAAATACTTATGTGAAGCTTTTTTAGGACTGCCCTCTAGCGTCCAATAGCCTAAGCTTGTATGTATTATTGATTTTTGGCTGCAGAAAACTGCGAGCATAGAGGCCACTGTACTAATAATTTTATCACGTAACATAACTCTGTTTTCAAATATCCAAGCTGTGTACAGTGCAATTTTAAAATAAGTGCAATTTTGAATTAAATTTATATTAAAAGATGCCACGATTAAAAAGTGACGTGTGGAAAGTTTTTCTTAGAACAAATAATGGGGGTAAATACATATTTTTTATTTTTTCTTAGAACAAATAATGGGGGTAAATACATATTTTTTATTTATTATTTTAAATATTTTGTTCTTGTTTTATGTAACATGTAACGTTATATTTTATTTAAATTTTTTGTATTACTACGTACATATTATATTTTAATAAATCGTATGTATTTTTTATGGCTTTACTTTTCCCCGCTATATCTCGGATCGAATGCGTATCGGTATTCTTCTATTCGGTATTATACCGTACCGATATTTTTTAAATGATACGATACGGTACAATGTACCGGTATTTTACGGCGTATCGAACATCCCTAACGGGAACGCGAACAAGTTGGCCAAGTTTTTACTTTCCCGTTCCTTCGGCTTCTCGAAACCAATACAAGAAGTCCAAACTTTATGTAAACAAGAATCTTCCTAAGATAAGAGGGCGCTGGTGTTCCGTTTATTCTTTTATTCTTAAACAATTGATTAATTTGTAACGAAACGCTACGCTATTTAGATATGCAATTTAGATGGCAAGTTTTGACAATTTTCCCTATTAACACGTTCCCTGCTACCTAAAATTAGGCGCAAGGTCCAGGAGCTGATCGTTTATTTTCAAATTCAGTTTGGCAACACTGCTGTTATCACTAACTCGACCAAACATATTTTATAATTTCTCAAACGCTTACGACCACGCTCATGTAAAATAAGCTCGTTTGCCGCAGTGCTGTTTTCACACTTGAAAACACAATGGACATAATGACGGATGGATTCTCCGGCACCCGGCAAACGTAGCCTTTGACGGATATATACGTCATGAGCAGTGAACGTGTTAAGTTCGGGCACCTTGTATAGGCTTCATGGTTTTCTGCATGATTGTAAAAAAACATTCGTAAACTCGAATTTTTGCACGGAAAATATATATTTTAATGATTATAATAATAATCTACAATATTATTTTTGTTACATCATATCAGGTTACGTCTTAAAACAATGATTATATTTATGTCTATCTGTACGATCGAGTAAAATTCCTAGAATTTGTAAGCAAATGTTTAAAAACAATGGAAAAGTTCAAGGTAATACAAATAACAAAAGTACAAACAATTTGTTTGAAACAAAATAAGGGAACAGGGATTTTAGCGTTTAACTAGTTATTTTTTTAGTTACTCTTATGTAAAAATAAAAAAGCAACTAGGTAAATGCTAAAATCCCTGTTTGTTGTAGGGATGGGCAAAATTAACCGGTTATTGCAATAACCGGTTATCCTTCTTGCAGTTAATCAGTTAGTTCAGGTTATTTTGAAACTACGGTTTAACCAGTTAATCGTTTACTAGATTGAATAACCGGCGAAAAAGGTTATTGTGTGGGTCACTGCACCTTGATTTCTCATAAGCAATAAAAAATAAGAGTTGAGAAGAGAAAGAAGGTTTATTTTGGTAATTTTAGCAATGCCCTATAGTTGGATGCACTGATCTATCAGTGGTTGGCTGCCTTGCGCCGCTTATATTTAAATATAGCACAAGAAGACTATAGTCTTCTTGTGCTATAGAGACAGGAGTACAAACTTCCTATGTTTGACGCTTAGAAGAAAAAACTTCCAAGGTTTGACGCGTATTTTTTTGTCGGCACAAAACAAATTAAACTGCAGTGGGCACTTCATTGCGCACAAACCAAATCTGATTAGGACCAATCAAAATCAAGTATGATGTATGACGTTTTCCATGTGCTTTAATTTAATTAAATCTTCCATGAAGTACTGAGAAACTTCATCATTGCAGACACTTTTTTTACGTAAAAGTATCTGGATAATTGTATTCCCAGATCGAGATAACACCACAAAAAAGTTAGTAGTTCCCCGAGTAGCCCATGTTTTGCACACACATGGTCATCAATTATACGATTTAATGATTTCTTGCCCAAACAATACACCAGAAATAAAGCATCATTAACCATTTCTGAAATAATTAATAAAAACCTGATTTTGCGAAACAGTTTAAAATGCCTACAGGAGGCATTTTCGGACATCTGTTTATAGAAACTTTTTCTTTTATTTTTAAATGTACCTGTACACTTATTTACGTTATATTATATTATATTTTAAAACCTTTTATTTAACTGAATATTTGTACTATGTACTTGCCTAATGCTTATATTTTAACAATTTTACTAGTTGCTAATCTATTTTTGGTAAAGAATATAACTATTTTAGTTTTTTCATAATTTTACCTGTAGCTAGTAGACTGCAAGATCCCAAGAAAACAAAATCACCAATACCCTTGTTGTGGCATTGCAGGGTCTAAAAAAAATAGATTTCCAATTTTGTATAAGGGCGGCAAAGAATTGTTGATTAGTCTACTAAAAACATAGTATATCTTTAGTTTTTATCGAAATCTAGGTACTTACGAAAAATGGTCGAGTAGCGTTGACGCTCATTCCGACTTGGAACAGGCTAAGATTGCCGTCAGAATCGCCAACGCCAAATTTGTTGCCATGCTGCGAGAATCTCACTCTTGTCACCTTCGCGTAGGTGCCAGGTGGTCTTGGTACGGCCACGGGTTGTTCGTGGTTCCACTCGTATAGGTGCACGGAACCGTCTTGTCCACCGGTCAAGTCTAAATAAGTATTTAGATAGTTGTTATGTCACCTATGGTGAAGTGTATACCTCGTAAAGCTGCTTTTACAACTGTGTAATTAGTGGAATAAATTATTGGTTTCATTTAACGTAAAATAACTGTTGGTTCCAAAGATAAATTTGAGCATTCGAGAAAGGTACCTATTTCATATGAATCTTACAGACTTTTGTTGAGAGTGTAGCCCATTTGTCGGAAATAATACCAATAAAATTAGATCTTACTTTGCCATCCTAATTTATTAAAAAATTTCCTTCTTCGTCTTCGTTAAAGTTTTTTATTCCAAATTTGATTTTTTATATATTCCATGTAGTCTTGTGTAATTTTCTCTTAATTCTAATTACAAGTATACAGGGCTTTCCAAAAGTCCCGGGACGGAGCTATAACTTTTGATGGAGTGAAGAAAAAAAATTGAAAATTTGGGGATCACTATAGAATCATAAAAACTACAATCTTAGATAGTTTAGAACTTCCATGCAACGTTGAGTTTTTTAGGAGATGACCATCCCAACATTTTAAATAGAAACACATCCCCATAAACGAAAGCCCGATATCTTATGTCTTTCAAGAGTTATGAGGGGTTGACTACCAAGTGGGAAAATAAAATGTTTTTTGCTAGTTTATTACGATTTTTATAACAAATGTTCAAAAATTGTCGACAATTTTCGATCTCGCAATGACCCAAACGCTCGTAAATGTAATTTTAAACCTATCCTTAGTGATTTTGGTGGTTTCTTCAAGTATGCGAATTTCCAAATCATTTATTGATTCTGGTTTTGTTGCATACACTTTACTTTTCAGAAACTTCCAAAAGAAAAAATCGAGTAGGGTTAGATCAGGTGGCGGCCACTCAATTTTACCTGTTCTATCAATCCAACGGTTTGGAAAGGCGCGGCTTAAAAAGTCTTGGACTGCGCTACTAAAATGTGAAGGAGCACCGTCTTGTTGAAACCACTTATTGTCAATGCCATTAGGGCATAAGGCACCTACACTTGGAAATACTTGAATTTCTAACAGTTGGTGATATCCGTCTTCGTCCAAATTTCCATTAATAAAAAATGGACCAATTACATTCAATCCCATAATACCAGCACATACATTAATTTTCTACGGTCTCTGATCTTCTCTTATTAGACTTTTCGTTACCCCAATAACGACAATTGTGCTTATTAACCATTCACCATTTAAGTAGAAAGTAGCCTCATCAAAGAAAACAACATTTAAAAGAAAATTTCTGTTAACATCACATTTTTCACGTACTATTTCACAAAATTACAACCTTTTTTCGAATTCACCTTCAATTCCTGAACTAGGTAAAACTTATAGGGAAAATACTTATTTTTTTTTTAAATACTGTTGACAAAACTTTTACAAATTTATGTACCTGACTCGCTTTTAATAAGGAACTTGAAGGTTCTTCCATAAAAGACTGTTTTTTCTGGAGTTGGTGCAGATTTCGGTCTGCCAGTTTTCGGAAGCTCTTTCGCAGTTCCCTCTTCTTAAAATTTTCTAACAGTTCTTTCTAATATTGTTTTAGAAATCGGGGGTCATTGATGAAAAAAATCATTGAAGACATGACACACTTCGTCATAAGATCTTGTTCTATCCCCAAAGCCACGAATCATTAAAAGAGTGATTATTTCTTTTTAGTAAGGTTTTTGCGCTACTTTTAGTGTTAAAGCAAATTTTAGAAAACAAGTTCGGTTTAACTAAATAATAAAAGTAAGAAAGTATTCGCAAATTAAACACAGCAATTGATATCATGTCAAAAAAACATGTGTTGTATTATTATTTATTTTAAAAACATATAAAACATTAAATACATTAAACTATTTTATTTTCCCATTTGGTAGTCAACCCCTCATAATTCTTGAAACAATTAAGATATCGGGTTTTGGTATATGGGGATGTTTCTTTTTTTATTACCTTTAAAATAAGGTGAAACTCGGCAGGTGTTGCTATTTAAAATGTTGGAAGAAACTCCACTTTGCATGGAAGTTTTGAACTATCTAAGAATGTAGTTTTTATGATCCTATAGTGATCCCCAAATTTTCAATTTTTTTTTTCGCTCGTTCAAAAGTTATAGCTCCGTCCCGGGACTTTTGGGAAGCCCTGTATAATGTTTTTAGCATTATCATTAAATAATAAAATAAATATTGCCAAATATTTATGAATGCATTTATTATTTAAATCGAAATTCGAGTAAATTCGCTCGAGCGATTGCTTGATTGATTATTGAAATTACTTGAGTATCCAGTATACTCAATTATTTAAAAACTTTTGTTTTTCCAAACACTAGTTTAAACGTTTTTGAGACTAAAAAAACAGACAAAAGAGAAAGCTATTATCCTACAGACTTCAAATTTTAAATATAGGGGTTTTATAGGTCGCTGATAAGGAATTTAAGGTCAATATTACAACAAAATAATGGCGTATTATATAAAGTATGTCAGTAGAACTTTGTAAATGTTCATTTTTGTTGCCACTAGTCTTAAAATTATGATAGGTAGATTGAATAATATAATATTAATCAACATATTACCCAATTTTCTTAAAAAAAAAATAGAAACATATTACTATCTGTTTACCAGAGAAAGCGCGTACTAATTTTAGTCACCATATTGCAATCTCCATTTCGTTTTTTGTAAAATAAACCTCAAAATTGTTATCATCGTCTTAAAACACTCATGCACCCAAATCGGCAAAAGCAGGGTGATTTCCACAATTTAATAAATATAATGGCATTGAGATACCCCTACATGTTTTTTAATTATACCAGGTCAACCATTTGTTTGTCCCATGCTTCCTAAATCGTACAGTTTAAGTATGTAATGTGTATTGTAAATAATTGTTTTAAACAAATATATGTTAAATTTAACCCACTAATTACGAGGTTGTAAATGAAGCTTAGAGGTTAAAAGCTTATATTTTTTTGTGATTGCCTTTGCAACATTATTAAATAATAGAATTATCCCTAACTTTCAGTGGCGGCTAGTTACTATGGAGAAAGGCAGTAACTACAAAAAAACTCTTAATACGTTTTATTGTGCTATGATAAAGCCATGGACATTTTGTATCTTAATTCAAAAAAGAAATGAAGTCAACTATCTTATAAGATAAATAAATCAATTAAATACCTACTGCTTTTTATAAAAATGTAGTTTATGCTAATTTTCCACAAATTTCTTGTTTAGCAGTTTCTGCCTTTCTCCATAGTTGGGCAGAGTACTTGTTGAAACTAGGTAGGCCAGCTCAGTGGCGGCTCCACAGTCTTTCTTCCTGATTTTCAATGGCCGTACCTGACTACCCGCCACTGCTAACTTTGAAGATGAAACAAAAATTACTGAAAAAACTTGTTTTGTCTTTTACATAGCAGCACTGAAATTTTATTTTTTATACAAGGTGGCTTAAAAATTGAATTTTATTTTATTTAAACTTTTTAAGAATATATTCACATACAGTGTGACCCATTTGTTTGCGACTCACCCCTGTAAAATCTTTATTTATTATGCGATTTTAACAGGATTTGTTTTAAAGTGTAGATCTTGATAAACTGTATTTTTGAAGCAAAAACGCCATATTTTTACAAAATACAAGGCCTACTATGTCAGTTTTTAAGACTAAATTTTTAAGAATTCATATTAGCGATTTTTTTAAACAAAATCTAAGCACTGCACTGGATTCAACACCCCTCAAAACGACCCAATACTAAATTTTATAAACATCTACCTTTGAGTATATTGTTAACGAGACTTGGAGAATACTGTTTTCATACTGAGCACATCATTAGATTTATACAGGATTAGCCAAAAATCACGTTTTTATATAGTAAAAAGCATAATGCACAAAACAGATTTATCTCCAAAAAAATTTATTTTATTTAATTTTATTCAAAATCAATTGTTCTTAAGTCTTGATAAGAATCCCATTTTGTAGCCTGATAAACATAAAAATATCTAAAAAAACATGGGTGGGTATATATCTTTTTTGCGTGTTATGCCAAAATCATGAATTTACGCTTTTGCTTTATTAAAAGAAGCAATTTTTGGCTAACCCAGTATATATTAAATGATGTGCACAGTATAAACAGTATTCTCCAAATCTCCTTAACAATATACTCCAATATTATTAAAGTCGGTGTACAAATGTGTACTCTGTCAAAGGTAGACAAAAAAAAATCATGAATTTTCAAAAAATTTCGAAAAGAGGATCAGCTAGGATTTTGGTAAATATCATTTTTAAGTCACCAAAGGGTCCCGAACAAGAAACTGCAATCAGTTTTTGGCGTCAATTTTATGTGACCTAAACTTCGTTCAGGGACACTGTGTTAGTAATTAGCTTATATCAAATAAAAGTGACCCATACATAGAATGTATACTGGACAAAACAGTATTGGTCTATTTATTCCTATTTCTTTTGTTTAAACAAAATATTGAAAAACCAATAAAACATATTCCTGAATCCAATCCAGCAAATACGTCATAACACGACCACGCTTTGACCTTTGCGGAAGTCATATCTTATTTAATGGTATTCTAGGCTATGGTGACATCCATTAATTACGTGAGATAAAAATAGAGGGAGAGGGGTCTAGCAAAATCTCACCAAATCTCATGTTAAGGGAGGGGGGTCATTAAAAATCTCACGTCAACTTTTGTGTTCAAAGAATATAAGTATTATAATTCAAATTTGTCAAAAAAAGTAATCAATTTTTATTTTTTGTTTTTATCTTGTTGTCCGCTAAGAAAGTTTAATGGCTGGAATCTCACGCGAGGGATAGGGAGGGGTCCAAATTATCAGAAAAATGCCTCACGTAATTAATGGATGTCCCCTATATGAAAATAGACTTGGTATACTTTAATTTTAAAACTACGCAAAAAAATCATATTAAGATAGGTTAAATAAACATAGTATAGTAAGAACACAGCATTGCCAACTTAAATAATTTTTTTTTAAATAACTCCCCCTGTATCTTTTGTGTAAATTTAAATTAAGTAGAGTATAAACGTTTTTGTACCTAGTGATAAAATGTTACATTTTCCATATCCTTATAAAGTTTACTTACATAATGGTAACAATGGATGGGCGGTAATCCTCCGAACGCCGTCAATTTTGTGTTTAAGAATCTGTGAAGTTAAAGGTATTGTAATAAAAAAAGAGTCGTTTAGATTTATAACCACATGCTTTAAAATTACACTGATGATTAGTCTAAGTTGGGGCAATCAGTTGCTAATTTTTAATGTTTTAAAAAAATGTGTTGTAAAAATTTTAAATTAGAAACTGCCTCCCAAGCTGGCTATTATATTACATATTTTATACTACAAGAAAATAATTAATTTAAAACTAAAAATATTATTTTTATAAGGAATTACAATAAAGCACACAATTTATGTATATAAAAGGCGTACCAAAATTGGCGGCCAAAACTAAATACCTCTTAAAATTCCTAGATGAATTTGTAGGAGATATTTTAATTTTAAAGCCGGGAATAAAATCGCTCTATCGGACGACGCCTGTGTATGTTCGAATGTAGGTGGGCATCTAGGATTAAAAATCTATAATACTGCGCGGCTTTAAAAGTTAAATAACTCCTGCAATTTTGAGAATTTAAAAAAACTCTAAAATATCAAAAAGAATTTACCTTAACCCTTTGGCCTGCCAATTTTGGGACACCCTATATACATACATTTAATATAGGACATTAATTAATAATTAATTTAAAGGTAATATAAATTCTAAAATTATGACATATTTCGACCTTTTTAAAATGTACACATGCTTTTTCTATACCTACTAGGTCTATTAATAAACAACTAAAATTTATTCTTATAGCATTATTAATTGGAATTAAAATGGATTACACATGCAATTTTATTACCTAATACCAAGAAGACTAAATAAAGGAGTAACTCTCGACCACAAGGCATATGTTACGAGAATGTTTACCATAAATTTAAGTTTATTTTTTGTGTATCTAAGACAGTAAAAATTGGTTCATTGATAAAAATTAAATTAAAGTGTGAATCTATAAATTAAAGTGTAAATATATGTGTATTGTTTTTTTTTTAGAAAAAAACTATAATATAACTTTAATAAATAAGTCCCACTAATTTAAATTACACGTGCGAACTACTACTACACAAATAAATTTTAAATTTAGCTAATACGTGCAACATTACCACACCACATTAGTTATATATAGTGTTCTGAAAAAATGGGTACAATAAAAGACCATAGATTGCTTGGGTTAAAACAATTCAAATTAACCTATCTAATACTCCTATATTGCTAGCGCCCATAAGTGGAAGTATCACGGACCAAGTAATACAGCAAAAAAAAAAACAGATGAGGATGTCTGCACCGTAGCGTTTTTGTCCTCCCCACGATACACAAACAACGGTGCTTATAATAATAATAATTTATTTGCCCAACAGAAAATACATTTCCAATAAAAGGACAAAATAATAAATGTAAAGGTTATATCAAAACATTTCTTTAGCAACAGCTAATATACAAGATAAATTAGAAAAAAAAATTCACATACATGGCTTATCTGGTTATAGTTATTAGATATAACATGCACTGGTTAATTAGCTAATATTACAGTACGAGCATTATCACAGTAGAACATATAGTTATTACAAAAATTTAGTCTAGGAACATATAAATTAAACATTAATAAAATATTACAGCAGTCAATTTCATTGTGAAAAATTTTGTATAAGAATTTCAAACCAGAACAAACTCTTCTGAACTGAAGTGAATCAACATCAAATCGATCAAGCAGTAACTGATGTTCAATACCTCTGGTTGGGTAGACATTATCTAGCCTGAATGATAATAGTTTTAAAAATTTACGTTGAACATTCTCAATCATTATAACTGGGTCATTAAAGTGCGGAGTACAAATTATGGGACAATATTCAATTTTAGATCTTATCAAGCAAAAATATAAAGATTTTATCGCTGTTTCATTTTTAAATCCTCGAGAGTTCCTGCTTATAAAGCCCAATACTTTAAATGCCTGGGAAACTACATTTTGTATATGAGTAGAGAATGACAATTTATTGTCAAAGTAGACACCGAGATCATTAATACCTTCACAAGAAGAAAGAACATTATTGTTTAAGGAGTATTGAAAAACTGTTGGATATTTCCTTAATGAAAATGTACATGTTTTGGATTTTTTTATGTTTAAAACTAGCTTGTTTAATTTGCACATTCAACTGATTCTGCAGCTCTAAGCAATCATTAAAATTTGATATTTTGGAAAATAACTTTAAATCATCTGCAAACAATAGATGTTTACATGTTAAAGAAAATGATAAATCGTTTATGAATATGTTAAACAACAACGGACCCAAGTTTGATCCTTGGGGTACGCCTGATGTAGGAACAAAACAATTGGACTTAAAGCCATTAAAACAAACATAAAGTGGACGGTTACTTAGGTAAGAGCGTATAATTCAACTTGGTTCACTCAGACCAATAGACTTAAGTTTAACAAGCAAAATATTATGGTCAACCTTGTCAAATGCCTTTGAGAAGTCAGTATATATCACATCCACTTGGCCCTTTTGGTCCAATACATTGAAAATATATTGAGTAAAATCAAACAATTAGTAACAGTAGAGAGATTGTAGACGTGGATATATAAATACTTTTTAAAAACCTTAGACAAGTTTGACAGAATTGCAATTGGTCTATAATTACCAATGTCATGGCAATTACTAGTTTTAAAAATTGGAGTAATCGGGTTACTTTCCATTTTTCAGGAAATTTTGTCCTTAAAATAATGTTAAATATAGTAGAAGGGGTGAAGTTAACAAATGTTGACAATCCTTAATAAAGAAACTGGGAATTTGATCATGACCACAGGTCAAGCTATTTTTTTAGAGATTTAATAGTTTAAAATAATTTGGTTTCCAGTCTCAAAAACACTCTTAAAGTAGTTGGCAAAACCAGCAACTATATCCTCAGCACACTCAAATTCATCATCTTCAAGAAACATATTAGAAGGAATTCGCGACCCACCTTTTTTGTTTGAATATAATGCCAGAAACTATTAGGATCAGATTTAAAACTCGACTCGACTTTAGCGAGAAAATCATTATAAGCTAACTTTAATTGCTTTTTAATTTAATTTAATTTTTCTTAAAGTTTTAAAATCATTTAAAGCATTTATATTCTTAGAGCGTTTAAATTTTTTATGATAGTGTTTTTTTAATTTTATGTTGTTTATTATTTCATTTGTATACCATGCTGGGTATTTCCGTTTAAAATTCTTATACAGACGTACAAACTTATTAAATAAGGAGTAGATGATTTTATAAAATTCTTCAACAGCATAGTCAGAGACACTAAAGTAAGCCAATAAAATTATGTTATGTGACGTCGTATGCGAAGCAAAAGCTGCAAAATCAAGTATATATTCACAAATTTATAAATAGGTGGACGTTTTGATAAAAGTTAAAGCATTAAACAAAGAAGCACCTCAAATGGAATCAACATCCGTGCGTGGCTTATGCCAACAAAAGCAGCAAAAACTTTACATAAAAAGTGGTAAAACACCTGTGCAGGGCTTATTTTTCTAAAATACAATAATTGCAGAAAAAACTCATAGAAAACACCTGTGCATATACGTTTGAATCTGCTTCGTACGTGACGTCACTTGCGCGGGTCTTGCGAGTTTTTGATTTATAACCAGCATACCGGTGTTTGTGTATCGTGGTTCTCCAGTATTCAACTAGCAATATAGGAATATTAGATATATGAGTTAAGCTAACTTATTTACACCCAAAGTTGATTTTTTAGCCGCTAGAGGGTTTTAAATGTTAACACAAAATCCTTTGTTTATTATAACTTAAAACCCAATCGATAATTGTTTTGAATATAATTATTGCACCGTAGTGGTATATCGTATTTAAAAAGGAAATTGAGGTTAGGTATAAAATAATGCTGAATCACTGCTGGAGGTAAGTTTTTTTGACTCGAATTATATTTTAATAATATTTAGGAAACCTGTGTTTTCTTATTGTACATGATTTTTCAAATAACTTAAATAAACTAATTGTTGTAGCCAATAAAGAATAATTGAAGGATTAAGGGCTTGAATGTTAAAAAATGACTTTTTAAGTAAAAAACAAACAACAATTTAATATTTAATCATCAGTAGGTAAATACGTGATTTTAGCAAAATGTAATGCAGTGTCAAATTTTCTTTACTTCACTCATTCATGTGCTTGACCTTTCAATTGGAACAATGATACTAGCAAATAAGCCACGAAGACTATAAAAAGGAGAGGTAATTTTCTACTAAAAGGCTAAATAGCTTCAGCAGGTTATCTTTCCACTTTAAAGTCTTCTTGAAAACGATTAAAGCGCTACTAGAAAAAGTAAGAGGGAGTGTTAGACACACACCGGTCTTAGCATGTGCGCCGACCGAAGCAATACGAGGTGGACAAAATTCGCATCATGACACCCTGGGAAGGTTAACCCCTTCATCTACAGACATATACACCCAAAAAATTGTACAAACACGAAGTTGATTCAATTATACAAAAATACACCGTGTCCAAAGTTATCTGCCATTGCAAAAACCTTTATTATAATAATTATTGGAGCTAAAAAGTCAGTTAATTTAGCAAATTTTTTTTTAGCATTTTTTCTTCTAATTAAAATGGTGAAAACAGGAAAACATTGAACGTCGGTTTTCCGAAATATTCAAAAAAATTTTTAAATGGGACATCGATTAAAAAGTGCTTATGAATTGTTTATTTTTAAGTTAAGGTTAGTTATGTAGTAATCATTTTTGGTTCCAAATTAAATTGTCTTTTAAAATATGTTAAAATTAAACGGGATGTCCTAGTTAAAAAATGTTTTTGTGAATATTTCAGAAACCCGACGTTTAATTGTTTTTACCATTTTAATCAGAATAAAAATGCCACCAATTTGCTTATTAAATTTTAACCGACTCTGTAGCTCCAATAACAACGGAGCAATGGTGAGCAGATAAATTTGGACACGGTGTATAACACATACAGAATGTTACAAAAAAATGTGAAAAAGGACAGAACATCTTAGCTTTTTATTTTATGCACGTTTTAATTTTCTTTTCAACAATTTT